AAAATAGCAGGCTCTATGGCAGATGAGTTTCATTGTAGAAAAATGTAAAGTATTGTGCTTGGAAGCTAAAAAAAAAAATGCACGTTACACGCTAAGGGGAGAACATCTGGGGGAATCAACAATGAAAGAGGAACTAGAGGTACTAGTAGATGGCAGACTCAGCAACAGCATGCAATGCCAAGCTGCAGCACGAAAAGCCAATTTACTATTACCACACATAAAAAGGCCCTGTTCTGGTCACCAGTCCTCAGGAAGAATGTGCTTGAACTGGAGAGAGTCAAGAGAAAGGCAACAAAGCTAATAAGGGGGCTGAAGGACCTCAGTTATGAGGCATTAGAAAAAAAACGTTTTAATCTTATGTCTCAATGAAGTTGGATGAGAAACAGTTCAAGCTTAATTTGCGTAAAGACTCCTTTATGGTTAGAATAGTAAGGATGTGGACCTCCCCTTCACAGTTGGTGGTGCCAGCGGAGAGTGTAGATACATTTAAAAAACTTTTAGCAAACACAATGTAGAGAGCTATGGAAAACAATAGACACATACACACACACTCTCTCAGGTTGAATTGAATGAACCAGTGTCCTTATTCAACCTTACCAACTATATAACTATGGGGATTGCAGAATCTTATGATAAACAGTGTGCAGAGTGCCCTAGCATTGTCACAATTCCGAGAAAGCGGCACTTATTTTGTCGGTTTTTTAGAAAATCAGATGGAGATTGAAACTTAAAGAATATGTAAACCCAACATTTCATATTCTTGATATGTGCCTGATGTACTATGTACCTGTATGAAAAAGTATCCTATTATCTTTGTATTGGTTTTTTTCTGTACAATTTCTGGTTTTCCTGCCAGTCCCTTTGCTTTCCTATTAAAAACTGACTACACTAGGCATGAGAGCACAGCGTGGTCAGTTCTCTAGCTATGTTGTGAGTTCAGTGTGCTCTCCTCCAATGATCAGACTTGACACCACCAACCAATCCTTCAGCCCCCCTTACCCCACCCCTGCACAGCCCCCACGTGCTGCTGTTTCTCCTGCCCCAGCTCTTATGCAGCTGAGAACAGAAGGTATGCAATCACTTATTAAAAAAGAAAAAATTTATTTATAATCTTTTTACATCTATATACAAAGTGTTGCCTTTCCGTTCTATTTTAAACTGAGGGAGTTGTTTGACAAGGTGAGGGTTTACAATCACTTTAAATAATGTCATTAACAATAAATTATAAAATGGCTAATATGACAGTTATATTTTTATATTTTAATGAGAATCAAACCGTGCACCACAATACTCAAAACAAATACATTCTGTTAATATCTGATTTGATGTTATGGTTAGCAGCACACAATTGCAGTCTGACTGTTTTACACAGCATGTAACATAAAATGTATACAAATGCTTTAATGTGTGTCTATGAAAAATACTACATATAACGGAACTTGTCTGTTCCCACAAAGTCATCTATGAACACCTGTTTTTAGGATCCTGTTCCCACATTATAAAACATACTCTTGGCAGCAAGACAAAGAATATTTTACACAGTGACATTTTAGTGTGCTGTATCCATGGAAAGCAAAAATGTATTTACACAGCTGTAATGTCTGCATTTTTTTCCCCAAATGCTATAATGAGAACAGTAGCTGTGACCATTAGACACCATTGTTGGTCTCATCTTCTCTCTAAGTAATATACATTATAAACTATCTTAAAATGTTTCTCTGGGCCTGTTGAAATGAGGGTAGATTTTCATGTACATAAACATCTTAATGAGTCATATAGACAGCTATGTTTTCCAGTTACATTACTTTTCCACATCTATTTTGTCTACAATATGTTCTTGTACAAAGAAAAAGACCTGGCAGCTTTACCAGTACATAAAAAGTACATGGGTGACACATTCAGTAGTGTTGCCTTTATATAGAAGAAGTGTATTATTCATTCCCTGGAGTGTTCATTTATTTGGTTAGTTAAAGAGACAACAGAGCTGGGAATAAACTGTTGCAGTACAAAGGGAAAATTGTAAATATATCTCAATGCCATAGATCCCTTATACATAAACAAGGGAAATGTCAGGGCTCCCAGGTGTGACCAGAGGTGTGTGGCTGACACAGGGAAACGCAGACCTCAGATATGTGATAAACAATATAATTTATTAACACTAACAATACAAACATAAACGCAGTGCAATACTAAAACATAATACAGTGCAAACAAACCAAACCAACCACCCACAGATAACAACAGTACATACAAGCAAGCGTCGTCAGGCAGGCCGGGTCAATATCAATAGGGCAGGTAGGTACAGGGGGAGCAAGCGGAGATTGGTCGGGGTCACAGGCCAGGTTCAGCAGGTAGCAAGCAGCGTAGTACAGAGGGTCAGGCAGAGGGATGGTCAGGGTCACAAGCCAGGGATCAGAACAGGTAGCAAGCAGCGTGGTACAGAGGGTCAGGCAGAGGGATGGTCAGGAGCGAGCCGGGATCAGAGCAGGAGAAGTCAGCAGCGGTTCAGAAACAGGATGCAGGACAGAAACAGGATACAGGGCCCACGACAAACACAACACCAAGGCAGAGTCTGTGGGTCTGGCCATCCCTTAAATACCCCAGCATAATCAGTTCCAGGTGTTAGCTGGCTGCAAAGTTGAGTCTCTGATTGCTGGGAGCATCCGTTGGCCAGCCCTGGTACTGCAGATCAAAAGGCAGGTGAGTTCCACCATTGCTGGCCAGTCCATTCCTGACAGGAAAACTCCAGTAGTAGTCATCAGAACTGTGTTTAGAAATGGTGCTGCTTCAAGCATACATACAGTAGATAGTGACACCCTTGTGCACATCATCTTCCTTTCTGTCGCACTTTCAAGTTATACTGTATGAAAGCATTCAACAAAACATTCCACCAATTGTTGGTGCTTGGGTTGTGGCTGACATGTATGACCTGCTAAAACCAGGTATGTATGACCTGCTAAAACTGTTTTTAAAGGATAACTAAACCCAAGAACAGAAATGTTGTTTATTGCAACTAAGGGCCCTTTCACAAGAGAGGACCAATAGGGTCCGCCTGTCCATTTTTCAGGTGGACCAGATCGGGCCATCCATAGACGTCTATGGACTGGAGGGTGTCCGCACACAATAGTCCGCCTGCACCCACCGGCATCCAATCCGATTCTGTACGCCAAAAACAGATGGATGGGTTCCCCATCTGTCCAGCCGATCTGATGAAAATCGGGCAGATCACACTGACGTATCCACCCTGTCTGAAGGGAACCTTACAGTCCTCATATGGTGGCTGTATTTGTTTTCTTTTTTTGTTTTCCATTGAATTGCATGTTCAGCCATACAAACATACCTGTTGATTCTTACAGAAATTTTTACTTTTCACTTCCTGTATGCTGCACCAAATATTTTCCTTCCAAGTTATCTTGTGTAAACTACCAATTGTTCTTCTCCTCATGTAATGGTGATGAAGAGACATGAAAATGTTTGTAGTCCATATTAGGAGAGCAGCCCAGGGTGACAACCATGGATCCCTCCATAGACATAACAGAGGAATAGCGTAGCCTCCCATGGACAGGAAGTGAGTTATGTGCCAGATTACCTGGTGAAAATAAAGCAAAAGAAACTTGGAAAATTAAAATGAATGCAGTGTTTCATGTAAACAACCTTCATAATTGAAAACTGCTTACTTACAGTATGCATTCAAGGAAAAATAATAACGTATTTTTACATAGAACTCAAATACCTGGAGGTTTTGAACCCCATGCATAGTAGAATCCACGCTGTAAGCAAATCAGAGCTCTGTTGCTTTGAATAATATGGTAGGTCAAAAGCTTGAGCATGCTAAAGAGACCCTGTTTCATTGCCCATGCATAGCAGAGTAATAGTCTCTTTGCAAAGGTCATTCCCCGAACCTCATATACAATGCTGTGCTCTCTCTCTACTCCTTATTCTTCAGCAGCCTCTGCTGTAATTGGCTGTGGTGGCAACACATGGAGCTGTTATTAATTTAGGTTACTCCTGCGCTACCACTCTTGTAGTGTAACAAATACACCTTGCTGCTGCTGTCAACCAACTGTGCTCCCACACTTGTACAATGATATATCCAAATATGGTGATGCACAGCTCCTTTAACTTATCAATAAATCATGAATACAAATATGTAATTTAAATCAAAATGTGGTAGTGTATTATTGTAAACATTTAAATTTAAAGTTAGGAAGGCTGTAGACTGCAAATTTTTTTCCTGCAACCACCTTAATTCTGACACTGACTGTGTTGATGGGGGAGTCTCTCCCTCCAAGCCATGGTTACATAGTTACATAATTAGTCTGGCTGAAAAAAGACAAAAGTCCATCCAGTTCAACCACAGAAAAAAAAAAAAGTTATAATCCTATACCCACAGTTGGTGTTCTCCTGGTGGTGGGGGCTTAAAGCCACCCCTGCCAGGAGAGGACAGTGATTATTGTTAGCGGCTATATAGGCCGCTAGCGATAATCGCATGTAAAATCCAGCAGGCTGGTTGTACCCAAGTTGATTGATGAATCAACTTGTGTACATTCAGCCTGCCCAAATACAGTTTGAATCTCGGCAGAGATACGAACTGTCTATGGTCAGCTTTACCAAAATAATGACCTTATTGTCAAGTCATAGGGGGTGGCAGCAGTTTGGTCTCAATATGGAAGCAATGATCTCTCTGCAGAGATTCATGATCCCCCTGCTCAGTCAGGAAGACATGCTGTGGCTTTGCTGATAACTCAGTCAGCAAAGATCATGCTTTCTGCGAGAGAGCATTAGCTGTGACTCAGACAATGAAGAATATGGTTACCTGAATCTATGTCTTTAATAATGCAGAGGGTGAAATGGTCTTCCTTTTAGGTGTGTCTAAAATGTTGGATAGAGTAGTGAGAGTTAATAATTCTGTCCTATTTTTAATTGTAGTCTGTGTCCCTGCTGGGGTGGGTTTCCCCCTGCATTCCTGGTCACAGGGACTGAAAGTGAGGGAAATCACTGGAACAAGAATAGAGGAGAAACCTAATTGGGACACTTGTTGCAGTGACAATTGTCTGAGAGGGGATTTCTTTTACAATTACAATCTTGTACATCTTTTTTTCTGCAGGCTGCAGTCTGCAAATGATGGTCATAAATACCCTAGATCCCAGACCTTGCCAATAATACGAGCCAAAAATGCACTTTCCAATCCCAAGCTACTACAGATAATAGAGCTTACAACTTCAATAACAAGTAAGTAAATAAACGGTATATATTTTAGCACCATATTTCTATCCTACAGACTTTTAATGAACCTCTGTCCTTCATGTACATTTTTATCAAGGTATTATTAGCCTTTGCACATTCTGCCTGTAAGCTCCACCATGGTAATGGATTGCCAGTGATACTAATACTCACACATCTTTGTTCTACAGGCTTGGCAGCATCTTATCACATACACACATGTGGGCTGGTGTGCTGTAGATGTCAGCACAGCATGTTAGTCCCGCTCTGGTTCTCACTGTAGGCTGAAACCAATTATCGCAGAATTGTGCTTGTTTTTTTTTTCAATTGCTTTAGTTCTTCTTAACTCCCTGTTCTCAGCAATATCAATTTGTCACCTACAGGTAATTCTAATGAAACTGACATTGTGCACCACATTGACTTGGATGCCAATATTGCCACAGAGGTCTGTCTTACTGTTCTTGACCTCTTGTGCCTCTTCAACCAGAGCCACCAGGTAAACCTACTCCTGCTGTACAGATTACCGCTAGTGTGATAAACATTGCATTGACCATTATACCCATAAAACACACTGGATATCCTTTATTTGGTGCTAATTGTATTTTATTGCATTGCATTTATTGCATTGTTTTCTTTCTCATTTCCAGAAGTTATTGCTTTCTGACAGCCAAAGTGTTTTGATGAAGAAAGTCTTTGACAACCACCTTCTTTTCTTACAAATCAACCAGTCAGTGGCTGCCCTCCGCCACGTGTTTGCTGCTTTGCGGATGTTTGTGTGCAAGGTACCCTTAACATCTGCATACTTAAAGTGGAATTCCAGCCACACAGTTTATTCACAACTGAAGTATAAATGTGTTAACTGGCTTACCTGCTGAAAGAATATATAATTTTGTTTACCCAATCTTTTATTCAACCCTGCAGACAACATAGCCAATTTATTTACCTCACTCTTTTCCACTGCAATAAAACAAAACAGGATGGTCTTTGTCCCACTTCCATCCTTCTGATTGGACTATTATTAAGAATATCCACAGTTATGAGGGCATCTTTGAGCAAGCTTCTAATGTCAGACTGTTAGGGGGTCATTTACTAAAACTAGAGAGTGCAAAATCAATTGCAATTGCATAGAAACCAACCAGTTTCCAGGTTTTATTGCCAAAGCTTAACTGAACAATCTGAGGTTAGAAGCTGATTGGCTACAATGTACAGCTGCACCCGATTTTGTTTCCACCAGGTTTAGTAAATTTAACACTGTACAGCAGCTGTGCTACAGGTTATGGGAAGCTATTGTGAATTCAGATTCAGGTATTTGCATAAGTTGTATTTATGTAATTGGATAAAATGCTGGTCTTCTGTCTAAACTCCAGCTTTAAAATGAGCCCCTCTTTGAAAAAAAAAAACTGTTATAATTGTTATTACATTACTAGCCACTACCATTGTGACTAGTGAAAACATACCGCAATGTCTACAAGCACCAACACCATTTACTGTTGCTAAATTGAAGCATGCAGTCATATATAGTCTGCCTTATGCCTGTTGACCGTTAGATGGGGCAAGATCTTACCTGAGCTAGTTTATATACAATGAGGAAAATGCTATACACGAAGAGAGCATAGTGATTTGACACAAAGAGCAAGATGGCAACACCCATGCAGTGGAATTATTACACAGAAAAACAGTGAACCTTAAAGGGAGGTTGAGTGTAGGGGAGGATGTTAAGTGTGAAGGGCTCATTGTAGGGATTAGGTTTGGTGTCATGTTTAGGTAGAGGAGGATTAGGTGTTCGAAGTGTTTGTTAGAATAAGACATGGTTTCTGCAGATTGTTTGATGGGGCAAGATCTTACCTGAGCTAGCTTATATACAATAAGGAAAATGCTGTACACTTAAAGAGCATAGTGATTTGATACAAAGAGCAAGATTGCAACACCCCTGGAGTGGTGGAATTATTACACAGGCAACTAGTAAGGGGGGTTGAGTGTTGGAGAGGTGGTTAAGTGTGAAAAGCTCATTATTTGGTGTTGTTTTTAAGTAGAAGAGGATTATGTGTTAGGCGGGGGCGGACTGACCATTTGGAAACTCTGGCGCTGCCTGAGGGCCCAGGGTCAGTAGGGGGCCCCATGAGATGCCCTTAGTACCTTTTTCATAGGCTTTTTTGAGTTTGAGCAAGAACACAGGAGCCCCATGATCCCCTATTGCCCGGGGGCCCCATGAGTTGTCAGTCCGCCTCTGATGTTACGGGTGTGCTTTAGCATAGGACATACTTTCTACATTATACACTGGATCTCAGCTGGAGTATTGTGCCAAAAGCTTGCCGTTCCTGGTTACCAGTGCTGAGAACAAAATATATCAGTTTCAGCTTTCTCCATCAGAATCCAGAGATCCGAAGTACATATAGGTAACCTTTTGAGGGATCAAGTAACACAACTGTTTAGCAAAATATGTTCAGACTATAGAGAGAAAAACAGCTATGATCTGAGGATGAGACCTCCACTGAAAAGTCCCAGAGTAATATTAAAAAAATTCAGCAGATAAGTGGACATTGAGCATCCATAGTTACTGGGTAACCTGCCTTACAAAAGCAGCTTTGTGTTGTACACAGTGGGATGTACATCTACTGTATCATTGTTACACAAGCCATTTTTAATTTCACATCAACAAAACAAGCTCTCCACTTCAATCTTCAGCCAGCTACAATTTTTAAAAATTGCTAAAGAAATTCAAAAGCTGCTTCTCTTCATTTAATATCTTATTACTTGCTTGCGTGATTGACTTTTTGCCTTTTCCAGAAGTCAAATTATAGTCACCCACTGCAATAGAAGTTTAATTTTTTCTGAGATACATTCTACCAATGTACAGCTAAAGGAGTGCAAGGGTCTCTTTCTCTTATACCAACACTAAGATCAGTATCACTCAGGTGATAATAATAAGACCCTTCACCAAATATCAGTTTCTTCAAAACAAAGAGATATATGAATTTGAAACAAAATGTGCTAAAATTGCAGCTGTCATTTCAGTTTACATAAATACTGTTTTCCTTCCAGTTCCCTAATGCATTCTTCCAGGGACAAGCTGACCTTTGTGGGCCTTTCTGCTATGAAGTTCTCAAATGTTGCAACCATCGGTCACGATCTACTCAGCATGAGGCTTCGGCCCTCCTCTATTTCTTCATGAGGAAGAACTTTGAGTACAACAAACAGAAGTCAATTGTCAGATCGCATCTTCAGGTATAGTGGATATACAACTCCAAAGACATGTTGTACATGGTTTAGGTTTCTGCTAAAATATGTGTCATAGAAAGCTAGAATTGAGAACTGAATCGGTGTCCTAGCATCATTATGAAAGAGATTAAAGTAATATTGTGTTAGCCAGCCTCTTCACAAACTGTGTACATCTGCTTACACTTCATAGCAGAGCCGCACATAGATTTTATACTGATATGCTTTCACATCATGAAGTTTCATTCCTCCTTCATAGTCAATGAACTCTTCTCAGGAAGTTGTAATATTCTGCCATCTGTAAAAGACTCTGAAAAATCAGAAATCTTAAGGCTTTCCTCATAGCATCCCCATATGATTCATTACTTACCCACACACAACGTTAGCAAATATTTGAACACAAACTAACTTCTATTATTATTAGTTATCATTAGAGAGGTGTCTGTGCCCACCTCAGCACTTCAGTTACATAACTAATCTGGCTGAAAAAAAGACAAGTCCAGTTCAATCAACAGAGAAGAAAAAAAAGAAAAACAACACACACAATTAGAATACCCCCATATACACTATCCAATACCCACAGTTGATCCAGAGGAAGGTAAAAAAAAAACAATAAAGCATGATCCAATTTGCTGCAGCGGGGGAAAAAAAACCCTTCCTTATCTCCCAAGAGGCAATTGGATATTCCCTGGATCAACTAGTTATTATGTAAATTGTAAGAACACTTTGATTAATAAATAGAGGTAGCTCCTATTTTATTAGGCAAACTCCATTTTTTTTCCTCATTCACACCTGGTATCCTGTGGTATGCTGGCTCTGATTACAAGAAAGGAAAAAAAAATCAGTCTGCAAAAGAAAAATTCTGTACATACCAGAGATTGGATTGGAAATTTTCAGCATCTGATACTTTTGAATATGTCTACCACTGGGAACTCTGGTTCTACCTGATGGCTGCTACATTGTGTCCCTGCAGCTCTGGTTTAGCAAGCTAGTGATATGGCCAGCTCGTGGCATCACAGCATACAGCAGGAGACACATGCATCCAACACAACTGGAAGTGTCAGATGCTGTAGATTTTGGTGGCTGGTGCAGCTCTGCAAGAAAGGGAAGCTTCTGTTCACCAGCACTGGGATGGTAAGTATTAGTGTTGTTTTTTTCACAGACTGATTTTTCAGAGTCTTTTGCAGATCAAGAGAAGTCGTGAAGCCTAACTTCATGAATATTCTACATGTACTTGGTGTTTGGAGGATTGGTGATCCTATAACCTGTAACAGCCAAATATGGTAATAATGTAGTAATGATTTGCAACCCTCTGGCATTATGCGCTGGTGTTCAGAAGGGACTTAATAGATAACGAATCTCATTATTGCATAATGAAAATTATTGCAGTTACCCAGTTCTTGCACTATATAGTGGGTTTCACTAACCACAGCTGATGTTCAGACAGGTAAATCCACCTTGTACTCATCTACTGAAAGTTTGAAAATAGTTTGCAAAGAGTTTATACTGCTTTGCTTTGGTTGGGCTTTAAGTGGCAAGGAAGAAGAGTTTGTTTTGAAATTGCATTAGAACAAATGAAAGTAGGCCTAACAGAGTTAAAGCTGAAACACTACTGTTCACAAAGCCTAATACTAATCAGCAATTGTTTCCTATTTTGAAATTAATCTATAAAACCACATCTTGCTTGTATTAACAGCTTATTAAAGCAGTAAGTCAACTGATTGCAGATGCGGGCATTGGGGGATCTCGATTTCAACACTCTCTGGCAATTATCAACAACTTTGCTAATGGAGACAAGCAGATGAAGGTAATGTGATAAAACTCTTGGATTTTTCTAAGGCAAATTAATAAAATACTGTAAATTATTTTGAAATACGCTATAATATAAATGCTGATTACACATGCTGATTTGTAATATTGAAATATGATATATGCAGTAAATATTTCTGTAGATCAGGTTTAGGGTGTAAAGAAATAGCTTGTGCAGAGGATAGAACAGGCCTAACATCAACCTTCTGTCGAACGGGCATGCTGGAAAAACAGCAGCTGATTGGCATCTGAGCAGCGCTTGCAGACAATGGCCCCTCTCAGAACACATTAGCTCAGCAGGGAGATCTCTGTACTAACATTGTGTAGTTAGTACAGCGAGCTCCTTAGTTTTTCTCGGTCAGCCCACTGGGTTGAAGGAAAGAAACTGCCTGTGTGTATCAGGCCTTAGTCTGCTGCTTAATCTCCCTATTCTTGGGTCCCCTTCCCTTCGCCGAGTGCCCACCATAGCAAGCCACACTGCTCGGCTCCACCCTTCACTCCCTCCTCAAAGGCTGTGATTGACAGCAGCAGGAGCCACTGCTGTCTCTGAGCCAAAGAGGAGGGAGAGAGCTGCTGCACTTCTGCACATCACTGGATCATGATTGGGTCCAGGTAAATATTTAGGGTGGGATGGGGGGAGTTGCATGCAGAAGGTTTTTTACCTTAATGCGTACAAAGAAAAATTATACAGGATTCCAAAATTATACAGGATTCAATGTCTGAATACATGATTTGCATAGAAAAAAATACTGCTTTAAAAATTTCTGTAGTATGTGTGTTTAAAACCCAGACATCAATCACTGAAGAGGATTTTTGTAATCAAGAAAATCCAAGACTTGTTTATAGCTTGTCATAATTGAATACATTTTAAAATAAATAGATATCTATATTTTATTTTCCCAAGAATACCCTGTTTCCGGCAGAGGTAAAAGATCTAACCAAGAGGATCAGAACAGTTTTAATGGCAACTGCCCAGATGAAAGAACATGAGAAAGATCCTGAGATGCTAGTGGACCTTCAGTACAGCTTGGCAAACTCTTATGCCAGCACACCAGAGCTACGTAGGACCTGGCTAGAGAGCATGGCCAAAATCCATGCTAGAAATGGAGACTTATCTGAGGTAAAACCATCTGCTTTTTGTCTTTTTTTTTTGCTTTATTTATTTCTACTACTTTAGTTACACAGAATCTCTGGGCTACAGGAAACATCCCTCATCTGTCTTGCATAACACTGTGGCTTGTGATATGTAACTGTGTATATTCACCATCTGCACCAACTATATACATTTCATATTTGGAGCAAGTTTACTGCCTGGAAAAGAGTTATAATCCAGATGGCAAATTTACAATCTCATAACAGAGTTAAAACATATTGTAACTTCAATTAAAGGAACACAGACATCTTATTTAGAAAGTTGAGAACTGTTAACTTTTACAAGACATTTCTTTATGAATAGATAGATGTAGTTGTATAGTTATAATATTAAAGTGACTCTGTTTCCTTCCAAAAAGGTTAAAAGAATAGAGGTCCCCTCAAAAGAAGACTATTAGGAGTTACCAATCCCACTGTCTTTGGTGTCTTGATGAGACATGCCATCTGAAGAATATTTTGTATTTGACACACTTCCGGTTGTGTTAAATGCCTATGTTCTTTGCAAAGCATACGTAGTTTGAAACCAATCATCTTGAAGCCTGAGCAAGGAATGAATTCAAACTGAGTGCATATTAAAATTTGTAGTTGTTACCATCTGTGAAAACCATTTGTCAAAATAATTAGTAGATCTAGAGATATGGAGGTTGAGTTACTAATGACACATACGGGGAGATTTACTAAAACTAGAGCACTCACAATCTGGTGCAGCCGTGAATGGTAGCCAATCAGCTTCTAACTTCAGCTTGTTCAATTAAGCTTTGACAATGAAACCTGGAAGCTGATAGGTTTCTGTGCAGAACTGCACCAGATTTTGCACACTCCAGTTTTAGTAAATCTCCCCCATAGGCAAGCAAAAGTCCCTTACAAGGGTATTTGCTCCAGAACTTAGTGAATAAATTAAAGCTCTGCTGACTTCTGTCATCCAATCCCTTGCAAACAAAAATGTCACTTTCTTTTTATTTTCCTTGCAAGTGTTAAGGTATTCTTTACAAATTTAAATTCCTCCACATTCACTAAGTTCTGGGGTGAATTTCCTTTCCATAGTGAACAGCCTATTTTTCCATTAGTAAATCACCCCCATGGGCAGCTAAAGTTCCATGAAAATCTTGACTGTTACTGTATAAGTTGAGTTTGGTTTCACCCCCTGGCACCTCTTTGTCCTTTAATTTGATGTGCGGCCACTTTGATCAGCATGAATGCTTGAGAAGTGCATCGAGAATTGGTTACCAGAAAAAAAGCCAAAAGTTGCATATAAATTCAGCTGCCTATTTCTTTGAAGCTGCTTATCGCTTAGACATGTGGTTTTCACTGGATATAATGTCCACTTATGTTTTTTTATCACATTTGTTACCCACTTCCCATTTATCCTAGTGAACAAATAACTGTAGGTTATCTCTTCCTGCATCAGTTGCATGGCTCAGTTGGTGACCTAAATTGAATAAAGCAACATTTTGTACATTTGTCCAAGGGGATTGGCATGTAAATATTCATCTCTCCTTTCTTCTTGCTTGCCAAAGCGACTACAATTCCCTTGCAGTGAATAGCATCTGCTTTTTCCTTTTAAATGTGTGGTTTACCACATGGCAGATTGTATTGGGTTTGTTGACTGGGAATAGAAAATAAAATCTTGAAAATAATACAAGCAAGAAATGATACCAATCAGATCTGAAACAATAATGTAAGAATAAGCCATTGTCTAGACACCAAGCAGGCAGTGCTGAGTGTCTTTGAGTTCAAGACTCAAAGCAGATGGTTCCAGTTAGGCAGTGCACGGTGCATTAATGTTCAGGACTGTGCTTCCAACGTAAACTTTTTCCTTTTACAGCAGAAAACTGGAATATATGATTCTAGCAATACAAACTGTCTTGCTGCCATATTTCCAACTGTGAGCTTTCAACAAACACTTTCTTTCAATTTCCTGTGTTATAACCATGTTTTTAGAAATTTCAGAAAGGTCATGTGACACTTAAAATGTCATGTGCCTGAGATAACTAGAGTGTTTGGAAGTTTAGAGACCCAGACCAAGTTAAACAATGTCTGTATGCGTCAGTTAATTTGAAAAAACATTTATGATTAATATTACAGTCTGACACTGGGCCTGAGAACTGGGCACACACACACACTTGCACACTCCTAGTTCTCTATTTTAGGGTTAATTAACCTTCTCATGTAGGGGCATTTTCATGTAGATGCATATTGCTGTTATGGAGGGGGTAATATTAGAAAAATTACAACTCCTTCTGTCAAAGAAGCTTACTTCTAGTTGCCCCTGTGTCATGCCAGGATAAAAATAGAGGAGTTTGAATTTTTGTTTCTGTCTGAGTCAGGAAAAAATTCCTCTATAATGAATCAATGCTACATTTTCTTTGCATTGTAAGTGTATATTGCTCTTTCATTCAGCACATTATAGAGTAATGTGTAGTGATTTATTACCAGAATCCTTTGCACCCTTGCTTGTATTCACCTCAGCTATCCAGTCAACTCTCAAATATTTAAGGGTGTCAGATAATGTGCAGCATATTCCTCCTTTGCAAGGAAGCCATGTTAAAGTGTTAATTGGCTATATGCTAATATTTCGGGATGTGGTAATGCTAAAGCAATGCTTTTTGTCTTTTAATTAAAATGGTTGTAAAGTCTAAAGTTTTTTTTTATACCTTAATTCAGAGAATGCATTAAGGTATAAAACCTTCCAAGATTAGCTTCCCTCCCAGCCCCCCTAAATACTTACCTGAGCTGGACTTCGATTGAATTATGTGCTCTAGAGCACCATTGCTCTCTCTCCTCACTGGACATGGAGACAGAAGCAGGAGCTATTGGCTCCTGCTGCTCTCAATCAAATCCAGTAAAAAGAGAGAGCGGCACACAATGTGTGACTATAGACACACAGAGCCCAGCTCGGGAGCAATAGCAATGGGGGCAGACACTGAAAAGAAAGAGTGGACAGTGATGGCAGGGAGCTCCAGAAGATGAGGTTCAAGGCCATTGCACAGAGAAGAGAAGTATAACAAGTTTGTAATTTTAATGAAAAAAATATTCTTTAGTAAACCTTTAAACCAGTGGCCTGGCCTTCTAAACATATCACAAGTATGTATAAAGTACTATAAATATATAAAGGTGTATCTGTAGCTGAAACTTTTGTCTATTAGTTTTGAATAGAGTGGGGAAAGGTTAGAACTCCTGTCAGGTTGTACTGCTATCTGGCACTCCATTGGAGAGATTTTTGTGGTACAATGTTTTACCAGATGGGGCAATTCACAAAGAGGTATCCAAGAATGCGGTAAAAATACTGCGCAAAACATTTGTTGGCATTCACTAAAAAAGGCTACTAAAAATACCGCATGAGTTTAACTTATTAAGTCATGCGGTATATTAGTAGTGAAAACATGTGGTATTGTAACACGTCATCAGGGAAACTCACTGACAGCTGAGTGTAAAAAAAAGAATTGCTGGCAATTCAAAATTAAGAAAAACAACAGCTTGGGGTTCCTCCCCAATCCGTACCAGGTCCTTCGGGTTTGGTATGTATTTTGAAGGGAACTCCCATGCAAAAAAAAAAATGGCGTGTGGTCGTCCTCAAACTCCATACCAGACCCTTATTCGAGCATGCAGTGTGGCAGATCAGGAAAGGGGGGGCGAGCGAGTGACCCCCCCTCCTGAACCATACCAGGCCACATGCCCTCAACATGGAGGGGGTGCTTTTGGGGCACCTTGCCCCCATGTTCATGGGGACAAGAGACTCTTCCCCTTCTCTTCTCCCTCCTCCTTCTCTTAAGAACTTTCAGGCAGCGGAGCTATCACAGCGGGAGACTTCATCATGAGTGGAGCCTCTTTTCTTTTTTTTTTTCAGATTGGCAGTGGTGGCGGGCATCATGATTGATGATGGATCTACTCCCGGGGACATTTATTTTAATAAAGGACTCTTTAAAGGGGGCTTCCAGATTCCAATAAGCCCCAGCCTGCAGACCCCCACAACCACCTGCTAGGGTTGAGGGGAAGAGGCCCTTGTCCCCATCAACATGGGGACAAGGTACTTTGTTGAGGACATGTGGCACGGTATGGACCAGGGAGGGGGTGCTCGCTCGTCCCCCTTCCTCTTTTCTGACCTGTCAGACTGCATGCTCAGATAAGGTTCTGGTATGGATTTGGGGGGTGCAAACCATTTTTTAATATTGGCGTTGCGCTGGTTTTTTTTTTCTCTTCATTTTTACTTGCTGGCAATTATATTTTCTACATTCAGCTGTCAGTGGGAAACCCTGCTGATAGTTGTTGACTCATTGGTTGTTAAGGTCGCAGCAAGCTCCTAAGCAACCAGTACATACCACATACCTCAACCACTACTTAACCACGCATGCATTTAATTATTTATTTCCTTCTGTGAATTGACTTTAACGTCTTCTTATGCGGTATTTACCAAGCGTTTTTGCTATTTGCGGTAAATGCAGCATACTAGCAATAATGAGTTGACATTTTCAGTATCGCATGCGATATGTGGTCACATGGCCGACATAACACATGCAATAACTTTTAGTGAATTGTCCCCAGGATGTGATGTGGGAAATCTTCAACAGAGAAACGGACAATAATAAAAAGCTGGTAGAGATGCTAGCACCCCCTACTTAAATTGAAAACAAATGTATTTCTTTCTGTATTGATCTATAAGAGTCTCCTCACTGGTGAAAAAAGTTGTCCCCAAGACAGTGGATGATGGGAAATCTCTCAAATGGAGCCCTGGACAGCAGTAAAACCTGTCAGGGTTTTAAGCATTTGCCTTCCTATCAAGAATTACAAAAAATTTGGGCTATAGATAACACTTTAAATATGGTGAGAAGTAATCCCACATACAAGTAGTGGAATTCGTTCCGAAGATTTGGAAAAATTCTATTCGCGACGAATCCGAAGATTAGCAAAAATTCGGATGCACGAATCGAATTTTCCCAAAAATGGCGGCGACATGTGTGGCGACGGAGA